AAGTATAGTTATCCTAGGACTGCAGAATTTTGATGTTGATCTCCAAAGACCTAAATTCCTAAATTCTTTAAGGAATATCCACTAGTGAATTAGCCTTTTGAACTGAGATCTGAATTATATAGAAAATAGGAGTATAGATGTAGAAGTAATGATGATTTTCTTCAGTTATACTTCTGAAAGACCAGCCACTGCATGGAATGGAGATGTGCTCAAGCAACTGACTTTCTTTACCTTTCCTTTCTGTTCCCCGTCACCCCCCCGAAACCCTAAATCCTCTGAGATTGATTAAATTACAGTGGAAACAGTGCTGCATTTTTGGTTTATTATAGATGGAATTTAATTTGATCTGAAATACTGTCATAGCATACAGCAGTCCTTTTAGTTCCACTTGATTGGAACTCAGGAGATCGGAGTCCTATTCCCACCTCTGTCATAGTCTTGCTGCGTCATCTCTTTCCACCTATTTCCGCATCTTTAAAATAGAGATAATACTTCCCTACTTTGTAAAGCATTTTGAGATCTAATGTACTATACATGAGCTACTTTGTACTATCAGGTGTTTGTACAGTGCATAGCACACTGGGGCCCTGATCCTGCCTAGATCTGTGTGCTGCTACATCATTTTCATTGTGCACAGTGCAAAATATGAGACTGTTGTCGTTTAGAGGTGGTGAAGTCATTTAACAAAAGAGCTAATGTGATCATTGGATGTTATAAACAGGGGAATCTTGAGTAGGACTAGGGAGGTTATGGTACCTCTGTATTTGGGACTGATGAGACCATCACTGTGTCCAATCTTCGTGTCCACAATTCAAGAAAGATATTGATAAATTGGTGAGCATTCAGAGAAGAGCCATGAGATTGATTAAAGGATTGGAAACTTGCCTTATAGTGATGGACTCCAGGAGCTCAATATACTTCGCTTAAGAAAGAGAAGGTTAAGGGCGACTTGTTCATAGTCTTTAAATATCTACATGAAGAACCGAAATTTTCTCTTCGTTCTAGCAGACATAGATATAATAAAGAGAGATATTCTAGTTCAAACAGGAATTAATTCAGGGAAGTTCCATGGCCTGTGTTATACAGGAAGCCAGGCTACGTGGTCACAATGGCCCCTTCTGGGTTCATAATCTATGAATTTGTACAATAGTTCTTAAATCATAGTGAGAGAATAATTTTGGTGTATGTTCTTATTTTGACTCCCCTCCTTGTAAAATCTGTGCCTGATCTCTTGACTTGCAGCATGCTAAACAAATATATCTAGAAGAGTGTCTGCTTATGCATGTAAGCCTGCTTAAACAGACAGTAATAAACCATTGTGGTTGCTGACCAATATTGTTAGTGGGATAGTGTGACAAGACCAGTGGTGGTAACTTTCATTTTCATTGAAACTGAAAGAAGATCTGAACAGTTTCCAGAAATTACTCTGGGTACTCTCCTGCAGAGCTCCATATTCACCAGCAATTACATTCGTGACCTTTGTAGTTTATTGCTACTGATGTCTTGAAACGGTGTGCAGAAGTTGTACTCAAACTGAGAGCTCTGACTGAAAGTGCTATCAAATTTCTCTTTGCTGCTTATTAGCAATGTGTAGCATAAGAATAGCTTGTTTCAGGCTAGCTTGCACATCCTTGATGCAAGGGATATATTTAAGTATGTTTAAGAAATGCCCCACCACCCCACGCACTCACCTGTGTGATGAGAAAGTTAAGGTTGCAGGTGCGTATTTGTGGAGTGTGCGTGTTACCTTCCAAGAATGGGAGTTAAAGTTAGAACCTAGGAAATTCAAAGATAAAGTAACATTTCTCAGACACGGCAATGTTCACTATCATGGGCTCCTTTAATATGATGATTTTGACAAATGCTAAATGCATTAGGTGCCAAACTCTGCACTCTGTGAAGTTATTGCTTCACTGTAACAACCAGGCTCAATAGTAAAGCCCTAACTATTGGGCAAAGTCTTGCACGTTGTTGTGAGGAACTTTTAAGTGGCAGAGATGAGGTTTACACTGCTTGGGAAAAGTAGGGAGTTGGCGCAGAAGACTTCTTTCCAGGACATGTTAAAAAGCAGAGGCTTGATCCCCTTTCTGTAACAGAAGAGAAGAAGCCAAATATGGTGTCCATGGTAGTCCAGTATCAGACTCCAAGATCCCATACTTGGCCATATCTTGAATGCTTTTAAACTTCCATGCATCATAATGAACCATATTCTCTATGAGTGAAGAAGAACCTGAATAGCATAGAACAGAACGTTTCTTATGACTGGTATTAGCTGAAAAAAATGGAGTCTGAATCCGTACACTTCTTGGCAAATAGTGGTGTGGGCAGTATTTGTAAGTTTCTTAAATACAGGATCATGAATAAAAATAGTAGTAGTGGTTCTTTTCCCAACTCCTTTGTTCCACCACTTACTATTTTTCCTGAAATAATTTCCATTGTCTGTTTGGAAAGCTGTGCTGATAATGATTAGATGTAGTGATAGAAAACCCTTCTAAAGAGGGTAAATAGCCTGTTACTCCAAACCCAGCGCTGGCTTCAAACTTAACTTGTTTGCTATCTGGGGAGCAGTCTACATTTATCATTCATCATAGACTTTGCCCTCTTATCTCCTTCAAAGCCAACCAGCTTTCTACATCAACTGCCTGGCTTACTTCTGATCCTGCAGCTGTCTAAGCGTCATTCCAGTGGCTCTGCCTGGTGTTACTAGGCCAGTATTGGGTATTGTTCCCTTTTGTGTTTAATTTCATCCTTTTTTTTTTTTTTTTTTTTTTGCCTGATTTTACCTGTTGTCCATAAAGAAAACTTTCAGGAGATACTATCAAGCCCTTAAACACATTCACCATCTTTCTGAGGTGCCAATTATACTAAGTTTCAGGAATCTGAAGTCAAAACATATTAATTCTTGAAAAATTAGTACTAAATCAATAGGAGAAACCCCTAGTTTGTATTAACTTTGGTACCAAATATCATACCTGTTACACTACTGTTCTACTACCTGCTCTGCAGTTACAGTAGCTGGTGATGTTAGTTTTGTCTGTTCATTTGTTTGTTTTTAAAGTTGGCTACAGAGGGCCTTATTTTCAACAGTGGGAATGCAATTACGTGTCCTTACTTACGTGACCAAATACCAGGCTTTTACAGACAAAATGATCAGTAAGCGGTTATACACTGAAACTTAAATTCTCAGTCTGCGTGTGCAAATGCATTTGTATGTACAGACCGGGTTCCCTTTTCTTCGTTCGTTCATTACACATGGCTATACTTATCTAGAACATGTACATTTTTATCATAGTTCGCAAATAAGGAGTAAATATGAGTTTGAAGTCTGTGGCTGTTCCTTTTGAAAATCTGAGGAACCTTATGAAGTCTTCTGAGCTTTATTACTCCTTCCATTGTCCTATTGGCCTCTGATTTTGGCCATTTTCTTTGTTAGAATAGGACTGGATTGAACTTTCTTCAAAATCGTTTAATGCTGCTCCTTAATTGGCCAGAGGGATAATTTAACTATAGTAACACTGTGTAACATAATGCAGTCAAGGGAATTGCACTGTTTGCCAGCTAATGAGAGAACTGTCAAAACCTGTTTTTGAGAAGGGTATATTTACACAGTTTTACTGATTTATGTGCACTCTGGGGTTAGTTAGAAAATTAAATGAATGTTTATGTAGCCTATTTCTAAACTGAAGATGTTTCAATTGACAGCCAGGTGGGAATTGAGAATTTTCAGAATGATCAGAAATGGAACAACAAATGGTGCAGTTATCAGAGTTAAATCCACATAGAAGTGCTGGAGAGAGAGCAGCACTTCGCTGTTGCTGTCTTAGGGCATGGCTACACTTGCAGATGTAAAGTGTTGGGAGTTAAACCGGCCTTTGGAGACTGCAGCAGGGAAAACGCTGCCGTGTGTTTACACTGCCAGCTGCAAGCGCACTGGCGTGGCCACATTAGCAGCTCTTGCAACGCCACAATGAGCAGTGCATTGTGGTAGCTATCCCAGTGTGCAAGTGGCTGCAACGTGCTTTTCAATTGGGGGGGATGGAGTGTGACAGGGAGGGTGTTGTATGTATGTGGGGCGAGAGACAGTGTGTTTTGGGGGGCTGAGTGTGTTTCAGCATGCTGTCTAGTAAGTTCAGACAGCTGCAGATCCCTCCCCCTCACACACACCCACACCAGCAGCATTCCACAATAATGGTTTGCTTTGTCCCGGAGTAGATAAGCATGCCGGCTGTCAGAAACGGAGCTTTGAAAGGGGATATCTGCATGCCTGCAGCCTATTTCAAAACAATGAGAAGAGTGGCCACTGGAATCAGGGGATTATGGGATCTTTCCGATCACAGCGCAGTAATGCAACACCTCGTCCACACTGACGCCCGGGTGTTTCAGCTGGGGCACAGCAAGCTTTATGCTTCTTGTGGAGGTGGATTACCAGGAGCGCTCCAGCTGCAGAGTCCAGGCGCTCTACATGCCTTGCCAGTGTGGACACATCGGGGAGTTAGGGCGCCCGGGGCTGCTTTAATGCGCTCTAACTTGCAAGTGTAGCCAAGCCCTAAAGTAATGTCTTGCCTTGAGGATTGGTAAGGGAAAACAGAGCCACTTCTAGGCAGCCAGTTAAAATATAATCCCCATGTCTCCAGTGTCTGAGAATCAGGCTCTTGGGGACACAATATGCAATTGGCTTGCTGGTCTGTTTTTAGTTCCTAGTGGACAAGTGACTACATCTCAATAATTGGAAAAAATATTGGTCTCAAAAGCTAAGGATTGAATGGGCTGTGGAGATTTCTACTGCATCTGTCTCAGACAGTATAACCAGCCTGTGGAGCAATGGAGAATTCAGTACAGATGCTCCCCGACTTACGCAAGCGTTCTGTTTTTTCCCCCCGTAAGCTCAGATTTGTGTACATCGGGTTTACGTAACTCGGGGAGCATCTGTATCTTTCAACCCACCTATACACCCAGGCTGGAGTTATATGTTTAATATTTTTTTAAATTTTGCATTTCAGGTAAGCTGAAAGATCTTGGGAACTTGGTTCTTCGACCCTTTGGCCTGTCGACAGAAAATTTCCAGGTCAAACAGGATTCCTCAACTGGCTCATACTCCATCAACTTTGTTCAAAATCCAAACAATAACAACAGATAGCATGAGCTAAGCCTGCTCCTATTAAAAAGCTGGCTTTCAAGCTTTGTGACACCATGCTTGCAACTACCAATAAAAGGGTTCAGCAATCATTTAACATGTAAAATCACTTTATCCAAATGAAAATAGACTTGAGGGTATACATTTCCACTTTGGTGAGATGTTTAAAATGTGGATGAAAAAACAAGTCATTTGATTTCCCTTTTGCAGTGACAGCTTTATGCCCAGAGTCGTTTTTTTTTTTTTAACTGCATTATTTGTCTTCCCTAATAAGGAAGTGGTTACCCTGGCCCATTCATTCTCAGCAACATCAGTCTAGCAAGCAATTCAGTTGGATCAAAATGCTCACATGCCTGTAACCCAAATTACAGGTGTGTCCAATGGGTGTCTTGTGGTGTTAGTAAATCTATCAGAAGTGCGTCTCTCCACTCAGCCAGTGAGTGTGACAGGCAGGGGCCATGGAAGCAAGCTCACCTCTGTGGTATAATTTATCTTCATTGTAATAAAGGCTTGATGTTTCTGTTGGGTTCATTTGTGATTTTTGTCCTGTATTTTGGCCTCTCACCAGAGGTAACCTTCGAATGATGGTATTTTTAAATGAATATAAACATAAGTAACCTACAAATAAGAAAGCAAATTTGCAAGACTGGTTTAAAAAAAATTGCAAGGCTTTTAATCTTAACATTGTCTTATTATAGAGTTTATATCATTTTTTTCTTGGGCACCCTGGCACCAGAGGTTTACTACTTGACTTTATCTTGATACCCTTGGGAGACTAGTTGGAAGCTACTTGCAAACTGCCTTAATATTTTTGGTATGTTAACTTTTACTATGAGGTCAGTAAAATTCACCTGCCTGGTTCAGTACATGTTGTGGGTTTCACAAAGTAGCTTTCTGGTGCTAGGATAATGAGATGCAAATATCCTTGATGTTAAAGTAGGGTTACCAGATAGCAACTGTGAAAAATGGGACAGGGGTGGGAGGTAATAGGCGCCTATATAAGAAAAAGTCCCAAAAAACAGGACTGTCCTTTTAAAAACGGGACATCTGGTCACCTTATATTAAAGTGATTGCAAAAAGGTCCTCAAGCTGTACTGGAGTCTCTGAATCTAGGAAAGGTTTAAAATATCTCTGCAGACGTACTATTCAAATATTGTGGGGTTTGAATTGGGATAGGGTTGTGGTATTTTTGCTAGCTTGTAGCTAAGCATGTTTTTTTTCTGTATTGACCCAGTTTTATAATAGTAAGGCCAAAACCTGGATGGAGCTTTTAAATTACCGTTGATCTGAAAATATCACTTATTTAACATATTAAATTAAAACTGCGTGATAGCTATTTACTTATTTTCAGTTCTCTCCTTTAAGTTATTCCTGAAACTCGTTAGCTGCTGCGTGCACTTGACTTCAGCTTCCTGTCACCATAGATTACTTTAGTACTCGCATATCTTGAGCCCCATTTCCAGTGACATGCTGGAAGGGGGCAGTCCCTCAAGCTATTTCCTAGCTTTTATTGTTGGGTTTTTAAGTGCTGCTGATTTCCTTGTGTTTGGGAAGATTTGCATTTTGCTTAGCTATTTATAAAAGTTGTCCTGCTGCCATGCAAGATTCATGGGCTAGTTTTGACTCTGGCTACCTGGTACATGCTGTCCATGTAGCATCTGTTGCAAACTACCTCACATCTGCAGTGAATGTGTATGATGTCCATGGGGACCAAGCTGTCAATGGAAAAGGCCGTGATTCACATTGAGGCCTGTGCGGACTTTAAGTTCTTGTGCATAATTAAAATGTCACTTAACTAAACAACAGAAAACAGCCGCTAGGATTTCCATGTGTTTAGACATTAGTCATGAATTGCGCTAGTGGAATGGGGGTTTATTTCTCACAGAAGGCTCAGTCCTCTGCCCAGTCTCTGTTAGGTGCAGCAGAGGTGGAGGAGCTCTGAAGGGGCTGGTTGATCCTGGTGTAATTGAGAGCAGCCATAGGGCTGCTTTTAACTATAACTTGGCTGCAACAGCCCCAGAGAGCTTTTGCCAGGGTTTGAGGGGGATGTCAGAACCTGCTAGGCTGGTTTTGTCATCTGGAGATTCCACCTAAAACAGGGGATTCCTCTGCTAGTTGTGTAAACAAGATTGACAGCCTCTTTGCACTAGCAGAGCAATGCAAAGAGGATGTGATGGGGTTGAGGTTTGCACCCTGAGGCTTCAGTCTGCTACCACTTTAGAGGGAAAAAATAACAAACCTTTTGTAAATATAAAGTAGACTTTTAAACTGGAGCATCCCAAACTGATTCTGGACATTTGAAATTTTACTTTTTTCTTGACTGGCTGATTAATCAACAAATAACACACTGGTGCTCACAAATGTACATCAGATGTGTAAAGGCACAGTCAGTGATTTAACAGCCTGATGCCTTGTCTTACAAACTATTTAAGGTGTAGATTTTTCTGCATTATATTCCTGCTTCAGATTTTTAAAGGGTGGCAAATATTTTACATGCATGAGGGGAAATTATTTACCTTACAGAACAAAGGTAAAAAACAAAACTTGAATGACTACCTGATGCTACTAGTTTTGTTTTTTGCAAGTGCACAGTCACCATGAACTCGTGGAACATGGAATAAGCTTTTAAGATGTAAGTTACAGTATGTAGGTATTTAAATAACTTCCACAAAGGACTGTAAATGTGAAGCATGAAAGAATGAAATCAGGTTTGTTGGACAAGACCTATTTTCCATAAAACCATGTTGACTGGCATTAATTATATTCTTGTCCTTTAATGCTATATTGATGGAATCCCCTATCAGCTTTTCCATTATTTTAGCCTGACATCAATTCCAGACAACCGGCCTATACTTACTGGGGTGATCCCATTTGTTCTTTCTGAATATTGGCACAACATTAGCGCTCTTCCAATCTTCTGAAATGTCGCTGGTATGCCAAGATCTATTAAAAATGTACATCTGCGGGCCAGAAATCTCCTCAGCCAACTCTTTTAAGACTCCTGCTTGCAAGTTATCAGGCCTGCTGATTTTAAAAATGTTTAGCCCAAGTAGATGATGATTTTATCCACCTGAGTACCAATGGACTGGAAAGTACTTCATCATCCTTATGGGATATAAAAACATCGTCCTACTTCTTTCTAAATACAGAACAGAAATTTATTGAACACTTCTGCCTTTTTAATTTTAACATCTCTTGCTATACCTGGGCCTCTACCATTTATAGGATTTCTTTTGTCCCTAACATACTTCTTGTCCTTAACCCTGCCAGCCATGGATTTTTTTCCCAGAGGTCTTTAGCTTCACACCTTATCAATTTTCTATATTTCACAACTTCTCATTTATATTTCTATCTATTCTCCCCCTTGCTTTCATTTCTTATGTATTGCTTTTTTTATTTCTAATTGCTGCTGTTACCACTGGAGCAGGATGGGCTTTTAGCCAAAGTTACCCTCTTTCTTGATTGTGAAATTATGGCTTTTTGGTCATCTAATAAAAAATTTCAATTTTTTAAAGAACTCCCAATTTTCAAAATCACATTTTTCTGTTTCAATTTATTCTTTCCAATCAATTTTGTTCATAATTTTCCTCCGTTTTGAAAAAATTTCCCTTTTGAAGCAGTGGGTGGGATTGGCCGCTGGTTGCTGATACTGAACATAATGAGGATCACTGGTGTTTAGATGCATTAATCACTGGACTGGAAGTTGGTGGCTGCCCATTTTCTATCATAATGAGGGCTAAAATAGTTACCTGGTGTTTCACTCAGGTGCAATATTTTGTGTTAGAAAATTATTTAAAGTGTTAAGAAGTTGGACATTTTACTACTGCCTGCATGACACCTCCTACATGCATCTGCCAAAATTGAAGTTCCCCCACAACACAATTTTTCTCCCCACCCATTAGCCAAATGTTTCAATAGTAACTTGTCCTGGTCTCTGGTTTGATTCTATGGTCTGTAACAGCTCCCAGCCACTACTTCTTCCTGATCTTTGTAGTCACATGTTGCTACACCTATGATCAAGATGCTGTGGCTCAAGTTATTGATAACTAAATCAAACTACTAACTGTATTAATGTAGTGCCACCCTCCCCTTCTAACCTAGAACAAGCTCTACAACTAGTGATTTTAATATTCCAGTCATGTGACTTGTCCATCCAGATTTGAGTGATGCCAATTATATTAACTTTCTTCTCATCAGTGAGAATTTCCATTTCCTCTTGCTTGTTACCAGGCTCTTAGCAGAGGTATATAAGAAACTAAAAAATGTCACTTCACATTCTTTGCCATGTCAGTTGTTTGTTTACAATATGCTGAGTTTGAGCTGAATTTGTTGTTTTAGCTCCCTTCCCTTGTAGGGCTAGTTAATGGCCACCTGGCTGCTCCAGCTAGTCTCCAACTGAGATGATTAACTCCCCTTCGCCCATCTCTGAGATGCAAGCCATCCCATTCATACACCCTCCCCTCCCACTGGAATGTGTCCCAATGTTCCTCAAAACCTTCAGCTTCACACCAATTGCACAGTCAGTGGTTCCCCTCTGGTATTTTCTGCCTTTCATGCATAGGCCAGAAGAATCTCCAAGATCACTTGGACTTTCCTCCTCTTAAGCTCTCTTTCAAGACAACTTCAGTAATCTATCATTTGTGTAGTTCTATGTGATGATGCATCATTAGTTCTAATGTGTAATATCACTAGTGGAGACTTGCTAGATGCATGATCCTGCCCAATCTTGCAGTTACATCTCTAATTTTTGCTCCGTGAAGACAGCACACCATTCCCAAGTCTCCCAGTCTGTGTGGGGCTGGTGACTGATACTGTACTGAAAGGCACATGGGGCTTTCTAAATTAATGTAATAGTTAATCTTTGGAGGGGCTTTAAACTGTACGTGAGTTCTTTGAGAAATATTCTGTAATCCCATTTAACCATGGGAAAAGGCACCATTTGACGAGCCTTCTGTACGCTCTGGAGACAACTGTGCAAACAGCTTTATCGCAGGCTGTACAACACTTTATCAAAGTGTGTTCATTCCAATTTAAAGAGCACCCTCCATTGTAGCTTAATGTAGAAAACCAAAGGGACTCTCACTGCCTTCAACAGTTCCCTCTCCTAATCCCTCATCCTGTAGCACCAGGTTGTGCAGCCCAAGGTGGGAGAAAATTCCAACATAATAAGCTGTAGCTCCCAGCCAACCCCGGCACAAAATGATTGTCTATTTATCATGCTGAGATTAACAGTCTGACTGCTTGCTCACTTTGCCTCCTTCAGGCTGCAAGCATGGGGGCCTTGCTCAGTCCTCTTCTCCAGTTCTAACCTAGCTGGTTCCTTCATGCCTCCCAGAGTCTTGACAAAGGAAGAGAGAGAGGATGCATTTACCTGGGTCCTTCTCACTTATGAACAGTTCTAGTAAACAAGAGAACAGTGATGCTGCCCCCCTCTCTTCCATTCCATAGTCTTACCTCCTTTCTCTCCCCTGATGGAGTGGGACTGCCCTATTCAAACTCCTCCTGTCTTGCTGAGGCTCCAGTGCAAGATGAGGTGCATTTACAGGCTGCGGACAGTGTGACTGCCTCCAGCTCTCTCAGCACTGCAGTATTCCCCCTCTGACACAAAAGGTAAGTACTGAGCCCTGGTATGCAAGCCCTGTATCTTTACACCAACACTCCCATCTGACTGCCCTAATGCAGGGTACCCCTTAGTGTTTCAAAGCCCAGCCTGTGAAACAGCTTTCCACCAACCTCCCCCTACCTTGCCCTTTTTACCCTACTACCCACTGCCCCTTCATGTGAGCAAACTGCACACACTAGAGCAGTGGTTCTCAACTTAATATGTGGCCCACAATGTGTTACCTGGGCCACAGGTTGAGAACCACAGCAGGCCCCCAACCCCATACCACTATGCCCAGTGCCCCCAGCCTGGAGACCCCTCCATACAGTGGGGCCAGGAGCAGAGCCCTGGTGGCAGGGAACCCAGACCCTGTTGTGTGGGGCCAGGTGGCAGACCCAACCCAACCCTGCCCCTTGCTGTGTGGGGTGGGCAGCAGCCCCGATCCCAGATGCTGCCGTGCGGCGGCCCCAACCCTGACCACTGCTGTGTGGGGCCAGACAGTAACCCTGATCCCAGTGTGTGGGGCCAGGCGGCAGTTCCGGCCCTGGACCCCGCTGCCCTTTAGCACACAGCTGGGCTTTGTGAGCACCTGTGCACCACAGGGCCCAGCCTGCATCACAGAGGCTGTACCACCCTGTCCTGATGAAATGGCTCAGGCAGGACTCCACTAAAGCCAATCCTCAGCTGCTGTAAATCAGCAGAGCTCTACTGACCAATGAAACGGTCAATTTGCACCATCTGAGGATCTGGCTATTAGACTCTGGACATGGCGCTAAGGCACAGGCAGCTTA